TCTGTATGTCATGTATGTTCATCGGAGACCTTGTTGTATGTTCTGTACGTCATTTATGATCATCGGAAACCTCATATGTTCTGTATGTCATGTATGTTCATCAGAGACCTTGTCGTATGTTCTGTATGTCATGTATGTTCATCAGAGACCTTGTCGTATGTTCTGTATGTCATGTATGTTCATCAGAGACCTTGTCGTATGTTCTGTATGTCATGTATGTTCATCGGAGCCCTTGGTTGATGTTCTGTACGTCATTTATGATCATCGGAAACCTCATATGTTCTGTATGTCATGTATGTTCATCAGAGACCTTGTCGTATGTTCTGTATGTCATGTATGTTCATCAGAGACCTTGTCGTATGTTCTGTATGTCATGTATGTTCATCGGAGACCTCATTATATGTTCTGTATGTCATGTATGTTCATCGGAGACCTCTTTGTATGTTCATATATTAGTTGTACCTAAAGCAGAACTCCAGCCAAGGGCTTCTCCTGTTAATTTTTGTGTTGGGTAATATATGGAGGGTTTGGGTCTATGGTATCAGGTCTTTGGTGACCTCCAGGTTCCTGTTGAGAAGATTCACCCTCACTGCCTGTTCCTAGGGAGGACTGTGGACGTGCATAAGGGCCCTTTAAGATCAAGGAGCTCATTTATAGAAAAAGTGGGACTCGTGGGCACTGGGAGCTCTTCCCGCTGTGCCGCTGTCCATCTCTGTAATGGGAGATATGGGATGGACTCTTCATGAGGTCTACAATCTGTGGTCCCATGGACCTGAACTCTGCTTCCATCTATGTAAGGGGAGATATGGGATGGACTCTCCATGAGGTCCACAATCTGTGATCTCATAGACCTGAACTCTGCTTCCATCTCTGTAAGGGGAGATATGAGATGGACTCTTCATGAGGTCTACAATCTGTGGTCCTATAGACCTGAACTCTGCTTCCATCTATGTAAGGGGAGATATTGGATGGACTCTCCATGAGGTCTACAATCTGTGGTCCCATAGACCTGAACTCTGCTTCCATCTATGTAAGGGGAGATATGGGATGGACTCTTCACGAGGTCTACAATCTGTGGTCCCATAGACCTGAACTCTGCTTCCATCTATGTAAAGGGAGATATGGGATGGACTCTTTATGAGGTATATAATCTGTGGTCCCATAGACCTGAACTCTGCTTCCATCTATGTAAGGTGCTGGGATGGACTCTTCACGAGGCCTACAATCTGTGCTCCAGGTTTATCTAAGAGGTGTTGGAGAACATCTTCCACGCCCATATGAACAAAGCTCCTCTTATCTTCTCTTGTCTTCTCTTGATCTCTTGATGCCATCTGGACTGGAGGTGAAGGGGGGGTTGGTGGCTGTTTAACACCAGTTGCATAATATGGTCTATGAGTAAGTTCCAAAAGTTACTCTTCATCTTACCTCTAGTAGTCTGCACACATTGAGTTAGTACTTGGGGGGACCAAAAACTGTTCCCACCAAGAGGCCCTTAGCTGCCTATGTTCGCCTCTGGCTTGCCCCAATGATAGTTAACACTGGGACACAAAGGGGTCCAGTTCTGGGTCCCTATAAAGCCCACACAGCTTCCCCCAATGAGAGAACTTTCTGCAATGCTTGCACAGCTTGTCAAGTTCAAGTGATCTAGGCGGCTGCACAGCCACCCAGATCACTTGTACTAGTCTGCTGTTGTGTCACCATGGTTTTTGAGGTTCCCTGCTACTCTGGGGGGCCCAGGACCAGGGCCGGATTTCCAACAAGGACAACTGGGGCAGCAGGGAGTAGAGGGGCAGCAGGGGTATGGAATTCCTATCTCCCAATGCCCAGGACATGCAGTTCCGGGCGCCGGGCAGGCAGTTGTTTACCACATGTAGCACTGCTTTGGGCAAGCAGAGCTAAATGTACAGCGGGGGAAGCCACCGCTTGTTTTGTACAAGTGATCCCGGCAATGTGGCCGAGATCACTTGTATGCAGCCTGCAGGTCTGCCATTCTCCATGGGGGGGAGGGGGGTGTTGGCGTTTAGGGGGGCGCATTGAGGAACTTGGCGTTGGGGCAGCAGAGAGAGTAAATCCGGCCCTGCCCAGGACCATGTCAAATGGTGTCGTCAGGATGGAGAGCGGGAGCAGACCAAGGAATGACCATTTCCCAATCTGCGGCTGAAGTGCGATCAGGCAGAACGAATGATGTAATACCGAAGATATAAAAGTATATACGTCACCGATACATTCAGCTTTGACCTGCTTATCAAACATCTAATCATCCAAATGGAAATCCCCATCATTGTGATTAGTACAATTGGCTGTCATGGGGAGCACATGTTCAGGAGCCACACTGACTGCTGGCACCCGGTTCTTAGTGTAGGTCTTAGAGCATAGAAGGGTGCACAGTCTCAGAACTAGGAGCATGTATGGGTGCACAGTCTCAGAACTAGGAGCATGCACAGGTGTACAGTCTCAGAACTAGGAGCATGCATGAGTGCACAGCCTCAGAACTAGGCGCATGAACAGGCACGAACTAGGAGCGTGCACAGGTAAAGTCACAGAACTAGGAGCGTGCACAGCCGTAGTCACAGAACTAGGAGCGTGCACAGGTGAAGTCTCAGAACTAAGAAGCGTGCACAGTTAGAACTAGAAGCATGCAAAGGTGCACAGTCTCAGAGCTAGGAGCATGGACAGGGGCACAAGCTCACATTTAGAAGCGTGCACAGATATACAGTCCCAAAACTCATAAGAGATACTGGCACCTTGACAAAGGATTTCTCTTTGTGTTTTGCTTCCAGAAATTGGTTGATCTTATCTGACCCGACACAGAACATGATTTCCGTTTCTTACTCAAAGAATGCTTTAAATGTCAACCTTGTTTACTGGCGAGGCAACCACCACAAACATGTCATGTATAAGAAGTATGTCACCATTTCCACCTGCTGCAAAGTCGTCTCACTCACACTTCCTGGCCGAACGTATGTCCACCCCCGACCCCCCATATGTCTTCATTGAAGGGTAGGCTTCAGGTAGATTCACTATAGAGGCAAAACTCTACCTGACCACCGAACCTAAATTACACGGCCAAATGAAACGTATGTGGACCCCCCCTAGGGTTGACACCTGTCCCGGATTCACCTGGAAAGTCCGGGTTTTGAGTCCTGAATGTGCTGTTTCCAGGTTTCCGGCCAGCTGAAACCCAGACGCAGGACATACGGGACTTAAAACCCGGACTTTCTAGGTGAATCTGGGACAAGTGGCAACCCTAACCCCCAAAACCAACCCCCGCCCCCCCCGCCAAAAGCAAATTATGGAGTTCAGGTGTCTCCAGTGAAGGTTCTGTTAAAATCAGTTAATATTGATCACTGGGGGGAGGGGAGACTGAGGAAATGCTTCCTCCTGCCTGCACCAGACTGATCACTGGGGGAGGGGAGACCGAGGAAATGCTTCATCCTACCTGCAGCAGACTGATCACTGGGGGAGAGGAGACTGAGGTAATGCTTCCTCTTGTTTGCAGCAGACTGATCACTGGGGGAGGGGAGACTGAGGAAATGCTTCCTCCTGCCTGCAGTAGACTGATGCCTGGGGAGGGGAGACTGAGGAAATACTTCTTCCTGCCTGCAGCATACTGATGACATCATCTCAGCCCAGACAAAGTGATGGCTTTATAATGATACCAGGTGGAGCTCTTCTGAAAAATGATCCCGTTGCTGTACTTTGTGACATGTCAGCAATTTATTCACGGAGACAAATCTGCAAACCAACATGATGAATAGCGACATCTGTTGGTGAGCAGCAGGAGCCCAGTGACAGTTGTACTGAAATATTTTAAAACTATGGGATCTATTTATGAAGGATTTACCGGCAAATTCACCCGGTGAATCTTTAGCTGCCATTTGCACCGGTGACAGTCAACTGATCGGCCGCGGCGTCACTGTCTGCGAGCTGTGAAAATGGACTCAATGGTCTTTGCCTGGCATGCCAAAGTCACGGTCACTGCTGGGGTGACCCATGAAGGGGATCCCGTCAGGTAGATACACTTTAGGGCCCATTCACTTCTTTGCGGTACTCTAATGCATGTGTGTTATGTTGCATGTGAACATGCGTTGTGTTCACGCATCCTGTTGTAATGAATGGGCTACCAATGCGCCCTGATAGCCTAAAAATCATACCCGGCCCTTTTTTTGTAATGCACTGCAACATAAACTATATTACCAAAAGTATTGGGACGCCTTTACACGCACATGAACTTTAATGGCCCTGTAGTGTACTACCATGCATTGCAGGAAGCTGTAGTGCAGGTGCATAACCCGAGTGCATTGGGATGCCATTCAATATAGTCACACATGTTATGGGAGTAACGCTCACAATAACACGCACATTACCACAGCGCTGGAGGTGGAGATCGCACACCCCCCCCCCCCCCCCCAATCATGTTATTTATATTTTTAATAAAACCTTTCATTTTCATTCGAATATTTTAAGACCAAGTGACATTATCACTGGTTCTCTGTGATTCTCCATGCAATGCAGGCAGATCATGGCTGGAGGAAGAGG